TGTCCACTTAATCTTTTCATTTTGCTGTCATTTGGGCAACGTTCGTAATTTTTTCCCATTTATTTGTGTTTTAAATTTGCGGTGCTTTTCGTGTTAGTCTGGAATATGACACTTAATTTGCCGCCGGGTGCGAAACACGCAAAAAGTTTTGGATTGAATTTTAATTAGCTCCAAAATATACAACTTTTCCGCATATTTTTTAGAAAACTTTTGTGCAGACAACAAAATCTATAAAGTATTTTATCTTAATTTTGCAGACTGTGCGGTGCGAACCAAGCTTGATTCTAAGGTCTGATTTAAATATTTTGTGTAGATTTCATTAAAATAATGGAAATAGAGGCATATTTTAATGTTGATAAGGGTTTTATAAATGACTACTTAATTTAATTTATGGTTTAAAAATATGTCTGTTCCCCAGATATATTTCAAATGCAAATGACTTGTCTTTCTTTAAGTGTTTGTTTAAACAGAATTTTTTATCTATGAAATAAAAATTATTTTTAGTAACAACTAATGTATTCACATTAATAGAATTCATCTGAAAGGTTGTTATTTAAAATAGTAGTAGAGTTAGGTAGAGCAGTATGCTCCCTCGATAATTTGCATACATGTACTGATAGGAATAGGTTGGTATATGTTGGCGATATAAAAAATCAACTCAGGTAAATTTGTCTATTGTGTTGACATATAAGTAAAAGTCAGAGAGTTAAAAACGTAATGGAGCCTTTGGTAAAGCTTATATCGTTTTTTATTGGGAGATCTTGAAGTTGCCTAAGATCCTCAAAAAACGATCATGCGCTAGACAATAACAAAACAGATGTGAGGCAGTTTAACCATTCTCTCTAAAAATGCGAAAGAACTAATTATAAAAGAAGATTCAATCTTTTCCTAAAGTTCCGTAATTTGCAATGATCCATGAGTAAACCTATCACAAGACTTATATCTTTACGGAGCATCTCAATAAGATAACAGGATTTTTTCTGCACAGCGGCCTTCTAATCTTTAAGTCTTCTCATCATTTATTAAAAAGTTCAGTATAGAAAGAGTTTAACAAAAGTTTGAATGATGTTGACAATACGCTCAGATTTTTAAGATATTTCTAAAGCATCCAGTTCGACTAGGTCGTCTGCTGGGAATCAAGAACAGAGAAATATGATAGAAATAATATTGCAAAGTTGGAAATAAAATTAATGATGTGCAAAATAGATTTAAATGTGAATAAAATGACTTCCTTTATTTGGAAAATACAAATATTTCTCGATTATCTTGTAAGTTCAATATTTAAATCAATTATAATTGCATATATTGTTAATTTGAACAACATTTGAATGTTATTTTTATAATCCTTTCTGGTTTAGATATACCAAGACCTCTAGGCACTTATCTTCCTTTTCTCAAAAATCTCATCTAATTACTGAAATGAAGTTTCTCACCCTGCAACTCCGTAACAGTGGTGAAAACCTTTGTTATTTATTCATATGAGGTGGTTTTAGTGGCTAAAAGTCTTACTCTGTGGGCGTCAATGATAATTTTATCATTGCAATCTTTTCAACATAGCTGCAATCCGGACTCCCCACTAATTTTCAATGTAATTACTACTAAGTACCCGTAAAACAAAGTAAGTTATTATCCTAATAATCCTAAGAAAAAAATTTTTTTCTTAATTTATGTACGGAGTTCGTAATATTTCATGTCTGTATAAGATTTTTTAAACCTTTTTATTTTTGTAGAAAGTCGTAATACAAAGTATCCCATGTTAATACACGTATATTCATGCTTATTAGCACATTATTTGTATGTTAATTCATTAAATTATAATCAAAATCAAAAGTCACCATTAATTTGTATTGTGTTTGTGTATACAGCAAAACCTATTGAACTAAGGTCTATTCCTGGTATATACTCCGTCTCAATTCTGACTAATTTAACACATTTTACAGCATCTGTACAACAAAAAAAGTTTTTTTTTTGTTTCGGAAAATGATTTCATTCTGAAACCGAAGTCTAGAATTTAAGATCATTAAAACATGTAATGAATTGATTACAATTCTCATTCGGTTTTATATATTCGGTGCTATATAAGTTATTAATTTTGTACATAATGCTATAATTATTTTAATGTGTGATATAGGATGAATTTTGTATAAAATTGTTTTTTTTTAAGATGGTCTTTTACGATTGTGTAGTGTGTGTATCCACGGTTGCCACTTGAAAATTTTTTTCTGTACCAAAATTGGTTTAAAAAGGTACCATTTCTGTAAAAAAAGGTCCAAAAAAATTTTGGACCTTTTTGTTTTCTCGTTCTGTGTTTTTTATAGTGTTATAAATGAACAAAATATAAAATAGTGCAAAGTTTCATTTATAAAAAAAATTAATTGGAAATATCCACAATAAAATTGGGTCGTCAAAAATGTACCAGTTTTTGAAAATGAGTACCAAACGAAAAAAAAAAAAAAAGTACCAATTTTGGTACTAAAGTACCATAAGTGGCAACCGTGTGTGTATCTATTAAAATTTGTAAGACAACTTTTATAACATCTCACAGTAGATTTGATCATCAAAATTTTAAACTCTTCTTATCTGGAGATAGTACGAGTATCTTTGCGTCAGTTATTAATGTTTGCTTAAAGCGTTGCTGAAATTAGAAAAAATATAACAGTTACTTAAACTAAAACTCTCTAAATGGGTGCTGATATTATATAATGTATTCCTTCAGGAAATAGGAAGGAAAACTTCATTTATAAGCTTACTCTCAATACAACATTTTTAGGCTAAGTGCTGATTTAGCCAACTAATTACTTTTAAGACAAAATTTCGGAAGACCCTTTATATTTCAATCTAAAACTGTTTGATAGGCTGGGTTCCAAATTAATGAAGAATAGTACGTTAGCTGTGCAGCGAACGAAGTCGTTCACTATTTTTACTAGATACACATTTGAGCAAATTACGCTAGCGACTTAAAGTACGTTGTCATTTACTTATGATTTAATTAGTATCGTGTAATTTCATATAAACAGCCAGAAAGGAGGCCTCAATAACCTCAATGACAACGAGACCTCAATGACATCGAGACCCCAATGTGATCAAAAAGAGATGAAAATTGACTCTAGAAGGAATGGCATACTGAGACCATTGTAGATTTTTTGTTTTATTTAGATTTGGAGGTTAAGATGTCATCTGTGTAGGATTTCTATACTATAGACAGTCGAAAAACAATTACGTTATCTGAGTTTGATTAGCCAGAACGTCAGTAGAAATGGTTTTTAAAAACACAGAAGTCTAATGCGAAAACATTGTTTGAGGAAATTTAAGGCGCAATATCTAGAAATCAGTTTGGTTGGTTGGTTGGTTGGAGTGGCAGCCTTGTTTACCCACTTGAGCACAAATAATGGCCCGTTGTGATACCACAAGGAAAAGCGATGTTCGTATATAGACAAGGTGATCAGAATACGAGGCAACGACTCCCCTATTAGGTGAAGGAGAACCAACCCGACAGTTCTATGAATCTAGCTAGGTCCCTCACATTGTAGGATGACAGATCAGTCAGATCGGTCAGAAAAGGGGCCCCCAAGATCTTTGATCTCTTTCTGGCTAAAGATGGGCACTGACACATGAGATGGAACACAGTTTCCTCCTCGTCCTCAGAGCCACAACCGCGACAAACGTCATTATAAGATTATAGAAATCAGTTTTGTGCTAGCCATTATTGTCTGTATACTTTTGGCTTTCGTTTGTTATAAAATTGTTACATATGGTAGATATAGGGAAGCGTTATTAAGTAAATTCAGTTTTGTTGATTTTTTGATTGTCAAAATTTAACGAAAAAAATTACAATTCAAGTTATGCTAAGGCAACTGCAAAAAATGAAAAGCTCTAGAATAAAAAATCATCTGAGTTTTCACAAAGTGTGCACTAATAGAGAAAATTGTTAATTTCAATAATGATGGAAAATTCACGCAACTGTGGTGTTGAATATGTCTATAATATAGAAATCATTAAAATTTTGTGTTGTTAAGAAAATGAGGTTGATAACAATCATTTCAAATTATCATTTTATTTAATAATATAATCGAAAAATAAATATTATTGCATTATTTTTTAATACATAAGTTCCCTTGGGTTTTAAGTGCTCGTAATTTTCTATTATTTTGCGTACCCGTTTAGTATACAATGCTTGCAGTGTCTTCGAATTTAAAGGAGTTCACAAATTTGGAATTCACTACAAGACTGACTTTCTTAAAAATTTTTATTTAGAATTAGTTCAATGAGAGATTCCGCTTTTTAAGGATTTCGAAAGCTTTATCAATACATTTAAGTGTTCTTCATTAAGTAGTCCTAGTTTGAGGGACTTCGAGGTATCAAATTTGAAGAAATAAGTTTATTCTACCGGTACAGTATCAATTTACTCAGTTAATTACTAATAACTATATTACTAATGCTAAATGTTTTTCATTTTTAATATTCAGAATCTGTAAGTTTACTCGGAAATATTAAGTTTTTGTAGAATTGCATCTTATTTTCGTTAACATATTTTGATAATAATATAGTATTTATTTATACATCTACATATGTTGATATATTTTATCTTTACTGATAAAGTTGCCAACATTAAATATGTAGTTAAAATAATATTAAAGTAGTCTGGTTATTGAAGTAAATTGAATAAAAGGTATTGTTATATACTCTAGTACCTGCAATATAAGTCCTGTTTAATATGAAAGCTTTCAGAATCAGGATCAACACCTTATTAAGAAAGTACAATATAAGTTCCCATCTAAATTCTAGCAATCTAAAATGTGTTATCAAAATGCGAAGCAGATTATATGACCTTTTTTAACTCTATTTATAAGCAATTTTTTAACAAATTATTTTTTTTTTGGTTTCAATACTATTTCTACTATCGGGCTATGGTTCTCTGTTCCTATCGATAAGTTAAGAGATTTTATTTCAACCATTTAGAGTTGTCGGCTCTATAATTTTTACTATTACAAAGTTTTAACTTAAGCTTCTCGTATATATTTTGCTAATTTTTGCTTTAACTTTGATGTACAAAATACATTACAAGTATTTTTAATATTTTTATTAACAATTCAATGTGTTTATAAATAATATGTTTAAAAATAATAAATATATTGCATATATTTATACTCACCTCAAAGCTAACGATACCGCTGTGATGCTGGTCAAGTGTATTAAATACGTAGTGTGCATATAAGGTTGGATTTGCTGTATTTAAAATTTTGTCAAAATTTCCGGTTAAGCATATATATTGCCAATATTTTAAGGAAGAAAGAAAAAGAAAATATTTTTATTAATTTACTATTCATTTTATAATAATAAAAAAAAAAATTGCGCTTTTCTAAATAGTTACTGCTTTTGTTAGTAACGTTCTAATAGTAAATATATATGTTTATATAATTATTAACTTTTATATTAAGTAAACATACATGTAAAGGTAAAGGTATTTGTAAATACTTGTATAACAATTTTATTTTCATAACAAAAACATATATAATTTAAACTTACACTTGAAATGTGATTTATTTGCTGTATGAGTGTTTCTTTGTTAATTTTTTTTATGAATAAAATTAGTTATGAATTTACAAAACGAAACAAAAATTATTTAACAATTATAAAATGACAATGCTGAATGAGATTATTAAAAATATATAGCATTTAAATTTAAATAAATAAATTTAAACCGAAATTAAATCGCAAACTTAGTATTTATAAAAAATTTAAAAACAAACTGAGAGCGAAGAACCTAGTAGTCAAGCTCCTTATTATTGGTTAATTCTAAAATTAATTTAATTTAATATTTTTCCATAAAACTATTTATAATTTTAATTATATTACTTTATTTTATACTTGTGTAACCACGCATTCAGGATATGCGCCTAAAATCCGGCAACATTTTTTTCATTCACCTTGTGACTTATAAAACCAAAACTCAAATTAATTATTAAAATTGCATTGTATACCTTGCGACTATCCTTTCAGTAACATTTAAACTCTCCACAGATTTAGCCTTACGTTTTCAATTAAGTTTATTTTTTTTATATAAAAACACATTCCAGTGTAATTGAAAGTAAATACATTTTGAAAATTCAATCAATTTTGAAAAACTTTTAAGAAAATATTGGCTATTTTAGCTTGAAACTAAATATTTGGTATAAAATTTTTTTATTCTCTCTAAAATTAAAAATTTTTAAAAATTAATTAGATATTGCTGTTAAAGTTTATAATATTTAAAAAATAAAAATGATTTAAATTATAACTTATATGGCGAAAATCAAAGATTTTAAAAATTTTAGGTCAGAATCATCAGACGAAAGGATTTACAAGAAGTAAAGCAAGTTAAATAAAATTACTTAAAATAACAAAACTAGTAAAATACAGCAACTTTGATACTTAGCAGAGGATTCTACAGTATTATCTCATTTTAAGATCAAATTCTTAGTGCAATAATACAGCACACTACAACACTAAAATACAGGATTTTAAATACTTAACAGCGAATTCTGCAATTTTATTTCATTTTAAGTGCAAATTTTTAGTGCAGTAACACAGCACTCCTTCATTTTATTCTAATAGTTTTATATAACTGCTTTACCTTTCACTAATATTATTTTTTTCTATTTGGGAATAATTAATTGACTCTTTGAGTATGTATTTATCTATGCATTTAAGCTAAATTGAGCACTGATTGCATGCATGAATAGAATAAAGAGGTTTACTTTTGAGTACGTAAGCTTACTTCACATATTACATGATTTTAATAAGGAGAATGACTCATACGCAGTGTAACATTATTAATGCATTTTCTTAATTACTCAAGTTAATTATGTTAAAATTTGTTATAATTTTTTTAATTATTCTGAGCATCTCGTTCAATTTAATTATTATTTTAAGTTTACTTTAAGGCGCTATAAATTTCCTTATTCACTTTTTAATTTTTGTAATTAATTTAAATGGTTTAAAGGACATATATTTTCACCATTTTTTTATTGTAATTTCATTGTATTTGCACAAATGCAGCAGAAACGTGTAAAATAACAAGTGAAAATGATGTACTCGTAAGTGCAGCCCAGTATGCACTTAAGCTGACACCTAAAAGAGAATCCTACATTTGCATTTAGTGACCTTCCATATTGTTGCAGCCACAATAACGGAAGGAACTGAGTGAGAAGCTGTAAAGGCTTTACAGCACGTAAAATATAAAATTTAAATTTAGCTTTTGTGTGCGAATTGTTGTCTGCTGGTGCCTTTGTAGCCGTGAGGCCTTCTTGTATTGCAAGCACCATGGATGACAAAAGAAATGCAAAAATGCTTTGTATTTGTGCTTGTAATTCACTGCATCACATGTGAAAATCAGTTTGTATCTCATAAGGAAAACACTACTGGCACTTTATCAAATGAAAATGAGAAAAAGTTTAACACAACAGAAAGAACAGACCAACACTGGAATAAATTACGACCAACCAATGAAAATAGTTAGTAAACTTTAAGAATATTGAAAGTGATAGTATAATTTATTGCTTTCTCCTTGTGTTGTTATAAATACTTTGATTCAATTTAGATGCTAATATCGATTAAATAGAATGTTGACCATATATTTATATATATATATACTTAAAAAAACTCTTTGACAACGCCAATAAAGTGCATGGAGACTGAATTGTTTTCTTGAAGACCCGAAAATGCAGATGACATCATACTCTTATCTTACAGACAAAATAAGACAAAATGCTCTAAAAAAGAGCAACTCTTAAACGATATCAATTCATATCAAAAGATATTTTCTTAAACGATGTCTAATGTTGAGCCTTTTCCGAGTAAGAGCATCTGGGTACTTTTGCTTTTTGACAGCTGGAAGGTTTCTGCAGAGTCCTACCCATCTCACTGACTATTTTGTGTATTCCTCATAGAAAGATATACTTGCAAATAGGTGAAGAAAATAATTATTATTAATTTATTACACAAACTCATACAGAAAATAATGTCTCGGGAATTATTTTTTTTAAATTTGAAATATGTTTTTCAATTTTATAGGATTATACAAAAATCGAAGCACATTTTACAATTGCTAATTCCGTTTATGAATCAGTGTTTTTTTGTAGAAACCATGGAAGATGGAATATTACAGATATATGCCTATTTTGAAAGCAATATTTCCAAATATGGGAAGCGGAATTTGAAAAAAAAGAGGGAACTATATAACCGCTCGTACAACATAATCTAATCTGTATAATATCTTGCGATCCAATAATCAAAGTTGTTAAAAAAAAAAATAAAGCTTTTAATATATGAGCTAAATTACTACATCTAAATGGATGTAAGACTATGTTGGTCACAACTGAAATGAAATCAAAACTGCAGTTGTTTATCCATCTTCGAGAAATTAATTTTTTTTTAGATTTATTTATTATAAATAATAGATAGTTTTTCCTTGGCTGTACTATGATGATGAATTGCACTACATTTAAATTTGGAATAAATAAGAAACTTCTTGGTTTCAATTCGAGATGTGCATGCAACTACCAACAAATTTTCAAGTTTTAATTTCATTTCCAAAGTTCAGGCGTTGGTTAAGAGCGCCTTTGTTTGTGTTTTCCTTTGATGCAATTGCAGGAACGACAAGGTCAATTAAGTATTGAAGCTAAGAGCTGACTTGGGTCCTTAATGCGCCATAACACTGCGGTTTGTGGCAAAATTTGTGCTGCAGAGCTTCCGAAACTTTTTGCTTTCATTATTTCTATTTTTAACTTCTTCTGAGAATTGAATTCAAATGCAGTTCCATGAATTTGTGAAATTTATGTAAAATTAATTAAGAATTTGTCGACCTTTTGACTGCCTTAACTTGTATTTCTTTTTATACCAATTATATAGTAAAAGCATACTCTTTCAGCTATTATATTAAAATAACAAATTTATTTAGAAAATAGGGGAAATCCTACCATCAAAGGCATCCAATATAATAGCGAACTTCAAAAAATAGAAAAAAATAGATAAAGAATCAAAAAAAAACCAGTTCTAATTATTTTCTTTTAATTAAATAAAAAAAAGACTTAACTACTCATTATAATTAGTTTCCATATATGTAGCCAATATATATGTATGTAAAACCCATTAAAATTATATTAGAATAAGTTTTATCAATGCATGAATGTTAGAGTTCCTTTTAAATATTTATACGGTATATACAATTTGTTCTAATACTTGTTGTATTGGTGGTTATAATTATGAGTCATTTTTATTCGTTTTGATTTTATTTACTTTAGAAATATAAATAATAAATTTAAAATAATTTCTGACAATATTTCGCAATCTTTGATGTTTGAGTGAGGTTTCACAAAAAAACAAGATGTTACTAATGTTTGAAAAAATCTATGATATATAAAGATATGTAGGTATTACGTGTATACAAAATGCACGAGTTTTACCGCACATCATCATTACTTATGAGAAAAACTACCCAACGAGTGTAATTAATTAACAAATTAAATTAATTAATTCAGATCATATCAAAACATAAATAAATATAGTCAATAAAACACCAGAAAAAATGTGTTGGTTTGGTAGGCTGTAAGTGGTTCCTTTTATTAGTATTAAATAGGAGTGAGTATATAAGATTCAAGTTGAAGGGGATCACATATTATTTAAATAACATATTATTCATACTCTTGGGCCCATAAGTCAACACGATACAATAGTGAATTGAAGAGCGCTGTAATACTTGTAATCCAAAAACTGTTTTTTTAGAGATGTTTCGAACAGTACTGTATCACAGCAACAAAAACATTTATTCATTTTAAATTAATAGAGTTTTTAGCTGACCATGCAGCTGTTTCTAGTATAGCCAAATTAATTAAGTTCTAATTTATTAAGTCTAATGCATCATTAGAGGTATTTGTATTATTTATTATATTCTTTTTTGTATTTGTAAATAATTTTTTGAGATAGTAAGTACCTTGAGTTGAAATCGCATCTTATCTAATTTGAAGCTCAGAGTCAATATTCATTACGCTACTGACCCAAAGCCGTACTTGACTTCAGCAAAAAGGCGGGAATTCTTTTTTCTGAAGTTTTGTTAATTTGCTGTGAAAGTTCATTAATAAATGTACTTGTTATGTTATATTAGAATATTATCATAATCTAGCTGTAGGATTAATAAATTATAGTTATTTTTTTAATAGGATAATGGGTGTTTGCAGTACTCAAAATAG